CCTCTGGGCCTGCGCCCTGCTGCCCGCGACCCTGGCCCGCGGGCGGGCTGCGCACCGCGGCTGTAACTCCTGCCGGGCCGGAGGCCTGGGCTGTCCCTGTCGCCGCCCGAGCCGGGCTGGGGAAGGCCGCGCCGCCGGCACTGGCCTGCCTGGGCATGCTGCTGTGGCCGGCCCCAGACCTGTTCTCCCAGGGAGGGGCGCCGGGAACCGCAGCCGGGGCCGCCTTCAGCGCTTCTGCCCACCCGGCAACTTCTAATTGGGGTGCGTGGTGGGGAGAGCTCAGCTGTCAGCCCTGCCGCTGGGCCCCCCCCAGAGCACCGGGTGGGGCCCTCCCCACCCTGGCGTTGGGGGTGCCACAGGTGGGCAGCTGGGCACCGGGCCCCCGGAGCGGGTCTCAGCTGAGCCGGCTTCCCGCAGGTGGCCCCGAGACCACCCCCCACCCCACCCCGAGGTGCCGACAGCGCCCCCGCCCTTGAGCAGCGATGACGGAGTATAAGCTGGTGGTGGTGGGGGCCGGGGGCGTGGGCAAGAGTGCCCTGACCATCCAGCTCATCCAGAACCACTTTGTGGACGAGTATGACCCCACCATCGAGGTAGGTGCGGGCGTGGGGGGGGTGGCCGCGCCCCCAGGGCCGGCCCTGAGCCTGCCTCCTGCAGGACTCCTACCGGAAGCAGGTGGTGATCGACGGGGAGACGTGCCTGCTGGACATCCTGGACACGGCGGGCCAGGAGGAGTACAGCGCCATGCGGGACCAGTACATGCGCACGGGCGAGGGCTTCCTCTGCGTGTTCGCCATCAACAGCAGCAAGTCCTTCGAGGACATCCACCAGTACAGGTGCGGGCCGGCCGGGGCCCCCCGCGCGCCCGCCCGCGCGCCGCTCACACCCCCTCCCCGCAGGGAGCAGATCAAGCGGGTGAAGGACGCGGACGACGTGCCCATGGTGCTGGTGGGGAACAAGAGCGACCTGGCCGCGCGCACCGTGGACGCCCCGCAGGCGCAGGAGCTGGCCCGCAGCTACGGCATCCCCTACGTGGAGACCTCGGCCAAGACGCGCCAGGTGAGGGCCCCCCCCGCCAGCCAGGGGCCCTGCGGCCAGCGGGCAGCGCTCATCGCCCTCCCTCAACACAGGGCAGCCGCTCTGGCTCTGGCTCCAGCTCCGGGACCCCCTGGGACCCTCCAGGACCCCCATGACCCAGCAGCCCCCCGCGCTGTAAGTCTTCCCGGACGGCAGGGCAGTGAGGGAGGCCAGGGCCGGGTCTCACTGACACAGCCGCAGGGGAGGTCCCTGGAGAGAGCTGCCCTGAGCCAGGCCGGAGCGGTGCCCCGGGGCCCCGTCCCTGCCCCGAGAGCCCCGACCCCTAGTGTGTCCCGGGGACGGGGGCACAGCGTGGCCCTCCCGCCTGCCCCGTGCCCGGGGGCAGCCCGGCTCCTGGCCCTGGCCCAGGCCCGCTGAGCCGGCCCCTCCCTGCAGGGCGTGGAGGACGCCTTCTACACCCTGGTGCGGGAGATCCGCCAGCACAAGGCGCGGAAGCTGAGCCCGCCGGACGAGGGTGGCCCGGGCTGCGGGAGCTGCAGGTGCCTGCTGTCCTGACGGCGTCCACGTCGTGTCCACACTGCTGCCCCCGGCCCTCCGGCCCAGGAGTCATCTCGGAGGGAGGAGGGAAGGGCCAGCGGCGCCCACGGACAGGGGTGTGCACACCGCCCGTGGACGCCCTGCGCAGACTGGCATGAACTGACTGGCGGCCACGCGCCC